GGGGGGGAGTCAATGGGAGGGTTGGGGGATGTACGGTCAGTGCCAGTCTGCTATTTTGACAGGGTACCGTAGAGAATTATGCTTCATGAATATTCAGATAAAACAACGCTGGGTGGTCGCAGGAAATGACTCTGCTTTAGAATAATGGACGTGCAGATCGTGTGTGTTTTTTTAATGTTTCTACGTATTTCTTTTTCTCTGACTATTGTCTTTTTTGGGAGGTAGGAATGTAGGAAGGGGAACTTGTGTGTCTGCTCTTTGCCGTCCTTTCGCTTGGGTGCGCTGTCTTCTGCCTGGTGTGCATGAAGTTTCTAACAACTTTACCTCTTGTAAGGCTGTGATTAGACTGTCTGAAAATGGGCTACTTTTGCTTGGATTTATTCCCTGTAAAAGTGACTCTAATTAATGTTAAATTTCTGGTTGTGAAGGTTCATTGCGAATATAGTCCAAATGTGTATATGTTTGACACTTTTATTAAACTGAACTTTTTGTCCTCAACTCCCATTTCGTATGTTGTGCGAATGTTTATGCTTCATATTTTCTCGTAAAGGAATAGTTGACTACTGTTACTTAACTCATCGGTCATTGCAATGTTGTTAAATAGACGTGTAGTTTGGATCTGGACACTCGTAAATCGAACGCCGGATCATTAACGGCTGTAACGTAACACAACTGGTCGTTTCCGCTATGGTATTGTCCAGGCAAACGTGTGAAGAAACTACCCAAGCGAGAAACCGGACACGGTCAAGGGAGGGTGATGATTGGCCCGGGGCTGTGGCCTGTGCTGAGCACTGAGTTACTTGGCTGACCATCCGCACATATCTGTGTGGTCGATGGCGGGTCATTTACACGTCAGCCCCTGAGCCAGAGATGACACCTCCAGGTATTCCAGGTACCTGTTTGTTAGTTTCTGATGGTCATTTCCGTGTACACTTCCCGCCTGGTTGTTTTCCCCTTGATTTAGGGTGTGTTTGCGCATTAATTTAGTGAGTGTTTGCGTGCTTGGTTGGAAAGCCCTTTTGAGGAACGTGTTCGTAGAGAGAACGACTTGTGAGGTCTGCTTATTCCCTTTCCCGACAGTTTTTTCCCCTTTTCATCCTGCTATTTTTCTAAATTAAATTATATATTGTGGGTGGTTGGCGGGTGCTCTGGTGTGATTTGTTTCTTCTGTCCTGTCAAACATTCTATCGTCCTTTTTCTCCTCCTTTTTTGTGTATGATACTCTCTTGCAACACCTCTAATCTTGGGCACTTATATGACTTTATTGTGTTGCAACTACCGTAAAACACTTACTAAAACTAAACATCCTGCTATTATTCTATATTAGATTATATTTTTGTGTCTTTGAGTGCCCCGGTGTTTGCTCGCATCACTAGCTCAATTGGTATCATGCTAGACTGAGGTACAGATTACCCTGGTTTGAAGCCTCAACAGGGCATTCTTGAACAT